CACTTTACACTTCACTGTTACACACAATCGGTCTATTATTGTCCCCATTACTCATTTCCTGGCAACGGATTTTAACACAGAAATTATAACAGCCTCAGTGAATTAAACATTCCAAATACCACTGTACTACACCACACGTAAATTCTTCTCTTCACAGCCCGACTGCCAACTGAACTCACAGAGCCATTTTCTCAGCCTCCATTGCAGAGCCAAACTCTCGACTAACTGCTCACTTGGAACTCAGGAACTCGACTGGCGATTCTCAACTGAACTCTTCTGTATAACCACTTTACACGGACCGAACAGGAAACTTCGTATCCCACAATCCCATTACTGTTTCTTGCGTATCCATTTCCGCCTAAACCTGTTTACAGAGCCGTTGCCTAGCAATGGACATCTCCCCTGACTACTCTATTCCGACCTTCAGGCGTCATGTAACAATAGCATCATCAGTAATTTCAACAGTGAAATCGTCAGCACCATCAGAAACCATAAAACTAATGTAGTGATTTATTTGGGCATATTTCTGACACCGATTTTTTTTCCGTGACTGCAGANGTGTAATAATATCATCATCAGTAATTTCAACAGTGAAATCGTCAGCACCATCACAAACCATAAAAAATAATGTAGTGATTTTTTGGGCATATTTCTGACACCGATTTTTTTTCCGTGACGGCAGAATGCTCATCGAACCAAGTGACAACGATTTTCTGATCAGGTTGTGTTTGTACCGACTCCTCCATGCCTTTAATTTCTCCAATTCGTCCTTTATTCATTAATTACCAGCATTATTTATTGATACAGACCGGGATAGATCAGTCGACTACGACCTGGATAGCCGGGGTTTGATTTTCGGCACCGGTAAGAGATTTTTCTGTACTCCATAAAGTCCAGACCGATTCTGGGACCCACCCAGCCTTCTACCCAATGGGTACCGGGGTGTTTTTCTCCCTGTGTTAAGCAACCGAGGCCTGAAGCTGACTAGAGCCGAGATCAAGGTGGATCTATACAGCCACTCTCCCACAGGTCTTCTCGGCGTAGAACTTCACTAGTTAAGCACTGGGACAGCGGCCTCCGTAATCTAGGAGTAACGTTCTCACCTCATAACTCAAGGTCGTGGAATTTTTAAGGGCGGAAAAATTCAGGGAACAAGTCCTCCGGGAGGGACTTTAAGCCGTGTGTCCCTCATGTCTCTAGGAGACCTCTGAGCAAAAATTCCAATTCCTCCGGTAGATGGGGAAGTATCGGGGACAACTACCCGAGAGGGCCGACCTCGCTGGCAGAACGGGGCTGATAGCGGGCACCAGTAGTGGAAGGGCATGGCGACTAGTTAGTATAATTAAAGGGGGACGCACAATAGATCAATAAATGGTCGCAGTGCATGGGGAGACCCACCCCCTCCAAATAATAATAATAATAATAATAATAATAATAAGCACTGGGACAAATTAAGCTATTTAATTTTTTACTTTATCATTAATATGAAGTGATAGTGTTGGAAGCTGACAATCTGTCCACCTCTCTTATCGCTGAGCTGTCGATATTCCGGGTTGGATTTAGACACAAAAAAAAATCTGCCAGAGGACGGCGTTATCAGTGCCCTGAGCGAACCATTTTATGCAATATCCGCCCTTATCCAACCACTCACCTGACCTGCCTACATACGTAGTCATCAGTCCATCCACTCTATTGCACATCGTCGTCTTAGTTCTTCATGGTTCTACAAGCATTTTAAATATTCATTATTTTTCAGGTTATAAATGTACCTTGTTCCTTAGGGCATAAGGACCGTATCCATAATTAAAAAGCGAAATGACAATATGAATTATAAAGACACAATTCCTTTTTGTTCTGTCTCCTGCATGAGACCGGCGAGTAAGTCTGACAATTTTACTGCCATCTGTGAACCAATTGTCTAAAGACCCTATGGGCCTTCACGGCCTGTTTCAGGGATAGTTTCTTTTTTATCTGTCTTCTCTATGCAACTGTTCATGTTTCAGATATTGTATTCTTGTTTTTTCCTACTTCATGAAATATTTTGAGAAAACCATTAAGACCGAATATGGCAATATTCCAACTACGCGTCCTTTAAATCATCCTTCAATTAAACCAAAGATTATAAGAGTAGCATATACTTCGCGTACCACAATATGACGTCAGCCCGAGAGCACAGGATCAGCTTCCCGTTGCTCTCCTTTCGTAAATTATATACCGTCAGCGTTCTCTTGTTTAGGTTCAATATCTGAAAGGTTTGTTTTTTTTCCCCTTGTCGAATGATGTTTTGTTTCAACTGTTCATGCCCTAGTTCGCAGATATATTAGCTAACCCATCGACATCACACGTACGTGTGAAAAAGCAAGCCAAAAGGCTCTTTGCGTGTGTGTGAAGTTTAGTGCTGGGATAGAAGAAAGCACGAACGAATTATTCTAGCACAACACAGCAGTTTCACTGTAGAATTCCGCTCACTGAATTCATTTTTGTAAGAAATTACGCAGCAATATGGCTTAAGCATTATCGTGGACTTGCAATCAGGGGGTGCCCGGTTCGAATCTGGTCGGAATATTCTGATGTTCTTCGTAATATTCCTCAGTTCCTCCAGGCAAATGCCGAAACAGTAACTTAACAAAGCACGATAACTTCCTCCACATTGTCTCCAATTCGTAATTCACTCTCATTTGATTATTAGACGCTATGTAGTCTGCGTGACTGGCAGCATCGTTAAATAATCTACGAGTATAAATAAATACAGGAAATGTAAGAAGCTATATCAAAGGTATAGCGATCTGAAGTTTTAAACTGCTCCACCTACTTTAACTGCAAACAAACCCTTCAAGTATCCGTCAAAAAGAGTGTATTTAACAATTTGAAAATCATTCTTCACCTCTCAGTTCTCAAATGGCATCCGGATAACAACTTACTTACTTACTGATGGAGCTGAGCCCTTCTTGAGGAGCCGCCAATTTTGCAGCTACTCAATAATTTCCAAGCATTTTATGGAACCCGAAGGTTCATTACCGTGTTCACAAGAGCCTTCAAATGGTCCCTATCCTGAGCCAGATCAATCCAATCCACACCATCCCATCCTGCCTTCTAAGATCAACTTTAAATATTGC